CCAATACATTTTTTAAAAGGAAAAAAATAATTGGATAGACTTACCCTGTTAGATTACAAAAGATTTCGTTATACATCTGAGCTACCTGTAGTAGTTTAAGATTAGTGTGATATCTCCTTTACTGCTGTAATTTGATGTGATGGTATTGCCTACCCCTGCTGAAGTCAAAGATGCCGCTGCTGCCACCTCTGCCATCTGTCAAAGGTCTTGGTAGTACTGCCTGCTGGTATAGTCCCATGGCTGCTGACACCCATTGTTTCTCAAAGAGCTTGGGTCTGCACAAAAGGTGTGCTCATTTTATAGCTAAAGTCACAGGTGACCTGACTCACCCTCATTGTTTCTAGTATCATTGTTTTGCTTTCTTTTACAACAGTCCTTATAGGACTTAGCAGCTGGGACCGTGCTATAGTGAGAATCATTTACCAACCTCTGATACTATCCCACTGCCCTGGAATCACGTGAATGCACCTTAATACTTTTCATCCAGGATGTGACTTTCCTTGCAGTCTCTTCCATCCTGCTAGTCCTGCCTCAGCTTGAATGGTGAGTGGTCTAGACATGCCCGAATGCTAGCAAGAACTCAGCTGAGACTCAAACCCTGACCTCTACATCAAACAAGTTTGTTTTCTTTCCCATGAACCATTTGACTATCTCCTTTTTTCTGTATACAACTCCTATTTCCAACCTAAGTCTTTGTCATTCTTTTGAATATAATTTGGTTTTGGGACTTGACCTCTTCCACAGCTAAGGGAAATGTAGACTCTGCTGATGAAAAAGAAGTTAAGACCTGAAGTGGTAGTGCAGTTTTTGCCTTCTTAGTACCATGTTCTTACTGTGTGTGTTTAACAGCTACTTCACTAATTCCTGTTATGCCTTTAGAAAAAATTGGTGGATTTAATACACTGGTTTCTGTAGTTGGAATATCATAAATTAACTCTTTGGGCTTTCTAAATTTTCTATACATTTTATATTTTCAATAAAACTCACCACCCTATTGGCAATGTTGTTTGGACTATCCTATTTCTCTAACAGTGTATAAATCCAATGACATCAAAATTTAGTATGATCATCTCTCTCTGATGGCAAGTCTTTATTTTACAATTCCTACTAGTAAAAACATAGTTTCAAATCTACATAGGAAGATACCATCTTTTTTTTCCTATTTATTTTTATTAAGACTCCCCTTCTGCACTAGGAAAATGAAGAGAGATTTTAGGTGGGTTAGAGGCAAACAAAAACAATTCAATGATGTAAAAATAAAAGCTAAAAGAAAATAAAAAATAAAAGTTAAGACAAAATGGAAGATTTGAGGCTGAGGGACATTTACAAACATGGATAATAAACAGCTCCTTTATAAGAACAAGAGATGGATTACAAATTTAGGTATAGATACATAGTTTGATACAGCCATGAAACAGATTATTCATAGAAGCATTTCCTTGAATGAATTTTTAAAGTAGTATATCCTATTTGCTTAATCATTTAAAAAGGTACATGTACATGTGCAGTACAGTACAAAAGCGTGAACAGTGAACATTGTGTCCACATCTTTCCTATCTCCCATCCTGAGTCTACAATTGTTACTGGTTTCCTATGCATCCTTCCAGCAATAGAAGGCGCAGCTATAGGAATGTTAATAACACTCTTTTTATCGAGAAATCTCAGCCTCTAAGGTATATATGTAGAAAATGGTTCTATTTTTTCCTATAACTGCTGCCACCGTGCTCTGCCCTTCTTCTCTGCCAACTCCCTCATTCCTCCTTTCCCTGCTAGGTAGCTATCTCACTTATTGACCATTCTAAGTCTGATTCCATGAATTTTCCATTTCTTTTGATTATTAAAACAGTTTCATTATTATTATTAACACTGAATTCTGTTTATTTAAAATCTTTGACTTCGTAATTTGTTCAAAGTTCTTCCTGATCCCCAGGGCAGGTAAGAGTTTTGGTTTTAGGATAGACACAGTATAGCTTGGAGCTGAGACCAGCAGCTCTGCAGCTAGACTCCATGTGTTTATATCCTGGCTCTGCCACTTGGAAGCCATGTAACCATGAGCATGTCACCCCCTGCCTCTGTTTACTCATTTGCAAAGTAGTACTTACCTCATAAGGCTATTGTGAGGACTAAATAAGTGATTCATTTAAAGCACTCGGAGCATGCCTGCCATGTTATAAGTGCTATATAA